TTTAAATGTTTTTAGAATTGATTTTTTTAGCCTTGCAGTCTTTCTACTGTTTAATATGTTTTTTACTCATATGTACTTTAACAGTTCAGTAAATATATATGGTTAGTATTTGGGTATTGACCACTCCTGATAATATTACGGTACTAATAATATCAATCATTGCATCTAAAAAAGAAGAGTTTTAGAAATCTGTTTATTTGTTTTTGTACTATACATGTAGCACAAAATTTGACCAATGTATTTACCGAGATAACTAGTTCTTATTTTCGAGTTTACATCATAAATCTCGAGTTAATTCCATGAATTCGTATTAAGAATTTCGAACAAACTATGAGGACCAAAAAACCGTCCATTATTTTAGGCATTATTCAGATACTGAACAATTCGTAAGTTATAGCATTTACGTAATATAGCCAGTGGTATAAACAGTAATATATTTGGAATAATTTTAATATAGTAATCTCAATTATGGCTAGTTTTGAAATCCAGGATGCGTGTTTCCTTATACTTGGAATTTATTGGTTAAATGTCCCCAAAATGAAACTTACACCTAAAGGCTCTATTGAGGTTATCCACTCAGGATCCAAATATTGCAACAGGAACAAAATTATTACAGTTTTAAATATAACGGGGAATTATAAAATCTTACAAACGCTTGCAAAATAGTTCACTTATTGATACCACTGTTTATGTCATAAATAAATAATAAAGTTGTGCAACAATAATTCTGCTCGTACACTTTAATTTATATTACCATATTATTCTCTAGTTAAATTAATTGTCAGTTGTGTCTTAATGAAATCTGCTCCAATTCTATTCCAGTATAACATCTTATGATAAGTACACGAATTGAAATCAATATCTTGACATCTAGAAGTGATGAACGATACTTCTACAATTTTAAGTTAATTCAAACCTAATACATACTATTGAACACAATTTTATTCTATGAACATATTCCCTTCATAACATGATTCCAATTTTTATAATTAAACTAATTTTGAAAGATATAACATTTTGACTACTTGCACCTAGTGAAAAACAGTAGTTATATACATTTTTAATAAACTGAGTAGTAATGCAATTCATTTTTTCAGTTCAATAATCTATTGTGAATAGTCATTTAACGTAACTACTGAGTTCAGATAGTCACTGGTTTGTGCAACGGTTATGAATTTCACTTATTATCATTCAAATTTACCTTTCTTAGATGACAGTCTGATAACAGGAAGAGGATTAGATGTTTCCCGATAACCTGGTCTATTGGGAACCTCACATCTTTGATGTCATTTTTCCCTCTCTACTTAGACAATTGAATAAGATTTATTTCAAATAATTACCTATGTTATCCATAAGCTCCAAATTACTTCTCTAGATTTTCACCCTGTACTCACTGCGGAAATGCAGTTTTCTGGAATAATTTCTAATCACTTTTGGAAGACATTAACAACAATAAATAATTTCCCCTAGAACGGTCAAATCAAACCCAAGAGCAGACAAGATCACTCAGTATAGTCGCAGTTCAGCTTTAAAAGATAACTTCAATGATTATGTACAACACAATCAATTACTTGCTATTTGTTCAATACACAGACTATCGACATAATACGTCAAACCCTATGATAACACAAATGTACTAATCGCCCAGGTGTACTGGTCACCAAGCAAAGTGTATTTGTTTATAATCGAAGAACATTTTACCTTCATTGAAATCAGAAGTCGATCAATGCTAGACCACCACTAAAAACTTGGAAGCCCTGGACGGCCTTTTAGTCCTAGTATGGGACTCCTCAGCAATATGCATCCACGGCTGCGAATGCGGGACTCGAACCCAGGACCGTCGGTCTCACGCAAACACCTAGCCCCCAGACCACTAAGTTGGCATCAATCGGCGTTAATATTTAACTTCAACCAATCTACGACGTTGTGCGATCATCCTCCATCGGCTTCAGTGGATAACTGCCTCATAACCGACACAGTTGTGGGTGAGATCGTTGGGGCGCACTGCTAGAACGAAACAGCTGTGCAGTGCTTTCAGTTTTTCCACAGTGGTCTAACATTGATCTTCTTATCTTTTACTGCTTCCTATTAGAAGATCGATAAAAATAAATTCCTAAGAGCATTAAACACGTTAACAACCAGTTACTAGGAGCAAAAGTTATTTGAGTTGATCCATAACAGATAAAATAATGTGCATTGTAATATTCTGATGTTCCCACCATATTTAGAATTAGTCGCCATCCCATCACTGAAATATAATGGCTACCTCACTGTTCTATGACTAGCATTATATTCCAGTGCTGATTTATTGGAAATGAATGGTGCCAAAAGATTGGCTTATTATTGAAATATAGTTAACTGTTATATAGTCATGGATTTCCACACAACTAGAATTTCGATTTTGCCAGATGAACGTTATATACACTAAAAAATCTGAATATTAATTGTTGACCTAAGCCAACCGCTTACAATATTATCTGAACTTGAACATGACTGTTATGAAAAATTGCAAGAATGTATAATGGAGTTATAAAATAGCTTTCATAATGGATTCTTTCATTGATAACCATAGGAAAATATTTTGATTTGAACTGAAAAGAAAACAAATATATAAAGATTAACATGAATTTGCTATATTTCATTGGCGTTTCTTCAGCTGTATACACTTTATTCATATTTCAATACTATTACATAATTAAAACTTGCGACTGTGAACAAGTAAATTGACAAAAGTTATCCACTAGGTTTTAAACATGGTTCATATATAAATTATATACGGAGTGTAATCGTATGACTGTCTAAGTTCAGATCATAGTATGTTGTGGTCCTTAAAAGTAATAGGAATTATGGATAAGTCACAAAGATTTGATCATATGTACAGTGCACAGACACAGGAAAACTACTGAATAAGTAATATTTAGCCCATAGTACCAGATGAACGTTATAAATTAGTTATGGAGATTTATTAACCACCAAAAACCTCGAAACGAGTAGACTAATCCAGATATGTATTCAGTCCATGAAATCACTGACTCCTGGATTGAGTTGTGCAAGGAGTGCATACCTTCTGTTTAGAAGGGTCTCATACACCTCGAGTCACTAAACAGAAACTCCTGATTCATACGTGTAAATATCGGTCGGAGTCGCATACATACATTCATTTATCAACACCATATTATTAATCTTTTGATTTTATCTGACAATATTCTTTATTAGTGCTATATTTTCTTTTTGTTATTACACTTGATGTGTTGATTTAAAGTTGAACAAGATGAGCCGAAAAACATTTCTTTCTAATCCCAAATTGATTGTACGTCTTAACTTAGATTGGTGAGGTGAGGTTTAAACATATAACTAACCGACTGATGAATAGATAAGTTATATAAGACCATAACAGACATTGTTTTACGTACCTAAGTTATTACTTGTTTAGTTTTAATTATTAATTATTTCAAGATATCCTTGATAGTGAGACAATAACAAAAATTTTCTCTTCAATCACCTTCTTAACAAAAGAAGTAAACTGATATAAAAAGGTTGAATAGCTAATTATTGAAATGAACAATTCCGCGCACACAACATACGAAGGTGTGTTGTGTACACATGCAGTAAAATTAAGTGTACTTTAGGCAAGATCATGAATTTATGGGATCATTGAAACCAAACTTTACAGTAAATAGTTGAAATGTGAATAATATATATAAATTTTAAATAAATCCAGTAATTGACTATCAGCAATTTTTTGTTATATCTCAGACAACTAGTTCAATTCGTTTGTTATGCTCTGACATACAAGATATTTGTTGTATTGAATTAAGGACATTAAAAGATATACAGTAACTTGAACATGAATAAATAGTATTTTTCTTGAGGCAAATATTTAGTCTTATAGCCTATAAGAATAAATCATTACTTTATATAAGTTCTGTCATACTTAGTTTGAAGCCATCAGTTTTTTTATGCATAAAATGAAGGTATTGGAATAAGGTTCTCCTCAATAATAGTATTTGTATTCTGTTGGTTTCAACAGAATACAAAATAAAGAAAATTAATAATTTTTTTTAATAAATCCACCTTGACGGTACCTTACCATATTATAAATAATCAGTGAAATTGTCATTTATTTTAAATAAATCACAGCATGGTACTGTTTAATTGGAAGGTCATATGATTAAATAAAATTCAACAAAACACAAACGTAAAATGAAAATACAACACAACAATGATAGCACTTCAATTTGTATAAACTGAAATCACTGATAATCATTGTTACAGTGTTGTCTAAATCTTAGCGGAAACTGAATTCTGTTGATCAGTTTGTTGTTTCAGGATTTTAATGAATTATATATCTTGAAGGAGAAGTTTAGGTACGTACAACAATGTCTGTTATGGTCTTATATAACTTATCTATTCATCAGTCGGTTAGTTATATGTTTAAACCTCACCTCACCAATCTAAGTTAAGACGTACAATCAATTTGGAATTAGAAAGAAATATTTTTCGGCTCATCTTGTTCAACTTTAAATCAACAATGAAGAGTATACAGTAGGATATCTGTTTAAAATCCAGTTACTGAATAATGTACAATCTCAGTTTAATCGTTCAAATGGAGCAGGTTATATAGGCCACACAAAGCGAGAACTTTCGAAATGTATCTCTGAATATTAATCTGCCCGGCTGTCTAAACGACTACAAAGCTCTATTCTAGAACACTTATTTAATTCTGGTCACTATGATTTACCGAAATACTTCTTCAAAATCAATCATACAGTCAGAAGAACTGGTTCAGAAGGAATACAAATTAAAAGCTTCCGTACAAGCGCAACCTTTGTATACAAAAAACGATACGTCTAACCCCTCATTTTGTTATAGACTACTAATTGTAATTAATTATACAGTTTGTGTAATTCAAAATCAAGTCATATCTGTTTTAGGCACTAAAACTGATTACGACTGGCCTAACAGATGTTACTTTAATTAGAGCATAAAAATATATAAACTTGTTAATGAATCATATAAGTTTATTTATGATTCTATTCCAATTGTTATTGTATGAAATTCAATAATGCCAACAAAGATAACTATAATAATGAGAGATCAGTTTACATGTAAAATCATATTAATATACATATATGTGTATGTTATTCGCATAAAAATTGCCGACTAGAATAAGCAACTAATAATTGATGAGAATGTTCATGATTGAAATGCGTTTTGACTACTGAAACGAAATAAAACACCCAATAACATAATGCACTTCATTCAGGTGTGAGACATAAGAAAAACAATACAATGTTTTGCTTTTTCATTATAATTACTGGCGTATATATCGTTTTGACAAGAAATAAGGACAATAAAGAACAAATGAATATGAATCAGTATGAAGCAAAAGAGTGTTGGGTTCGAACTAAGACAATAAATGACAAACACACCATTTGAATTTTTTTTTAAAAAAAGGAAAAGAACAAAGTTGACTAATTTAAAACGACCAAGAGAAAAATATTTGGTCAGGGTAAATGTTGATCGAAAAAGAAATGCACAATCATTTGACCTAATAGTAACTAATGTTTATCATATTCTCAAACTGGAGGCAGATAAAGTAAATGACGCATTTTTGATAACACTGATAATGAACCGGTCATGAAAGCTTTGTCAGATTTTATTGCATTCATTACATCTAAACGACCTTCTACCACATCGGTTAAATCGTTAATATGTATGAAAAGTGTAACATTTGCTGGTTGTTTATCAACTGGTAGACAACCTGAACCGACAGTTCCTGTTTAAAACAGTAGATTATTTAAAAACGAGAAAATTAGCAAAACAGGAATAGAGCAAAAAATATTCATGATGAAATAACTTAAGATTGAATTTGCAAGATTATCCACAATCTGTTCGGTGAACATGCAGAGTCAGATCATAAAAGGACTCTTTCGCACAAAATTTTGGCGGACAATAATTCTATTTATTTGTATTGGTTGTTCAAATCTTTCCATTGATGAACACGACTGCAATTAACCAGTCTCTTATTGGTATATTCGCATACTGTGCGGATTGCCTCGACATTTCTATTATCTTTGAATTATTTCCAGCTTGTGGCAATCGTGCTACCTCCGTTTTAATCGTACAAAACATGTCAGACATCTTACTTTTCACCTGTTTCATGGCTTGATGTTTATTCATATCCGCGTTACTATACTAGGTTTTGAAAACATCGTGAAGTCGCAAAGGTCTATAACGTAGTCTAGCATAAGTCTAAGTCGGTGACAGATTGACTAGCTTTACATACAGACTCAGTAAAGTAGCAAATGTCACTGTGTAGACTACAAGGACCATTTCTTATAATTCTTTACCAGTGTAAAACAAAACATTTTGTTAAATTATTCACCAATATGGATGGTGGTCATCAGTGCAATCCAGGTCGCAAAGGATGCACATATGCTGAAAAGAGACTGAATAATTGAAGTTCTTAACATTAATGGAAAGATTTAAATAAATCAATACAAGTGAATTATTCATTATTAAGTCTAGTGAATAAGTGACTATTCATTAGTGGAAAAAAGGATGTCCTTGAAAACAACAACCCTAACTTATCACCTTAACAGTGTGAAGAATTCTTTAAAGAAGGTTGCCGACTAAAAGAAATTTAATAACTAAGCTTACCAGGAATAGAACTGGTAGCTTAACGGTTAGGAAGTTCAACTTTCAACCAATAGTTCACGGATTTGAGTCCAGCTCCGTTTACTTCGGTTTGGGTAGAGCGGTTGTATCGCTAAGCAGCCACTGCTCAAAATCCCAAGAGTACACGAATCATTACTTGACAAATGAGTTACATCAATGCCGATAAGTTGAAAGTAATTTCATTTTAGAAAATAAATATGAATCAACGTTTAGTTTAAAAAATGATTTGAGCTGTTATTTTCTGATTCAAAATAGAAAAGCACTTTTTTAACTGGTTAGTTTAAGCATATTATTAGGTTTATATTTCTGTCTAATACACCTCATTCGATTATTGCAAAATGGAAGGAAAATTGAGAGGGAACATGGTACAAACGAAAAACCTGAACAATTAAAATACTCTAGTGAAAACACTAGAGTTCACACAGAATTTAAGTAAGACTTTTCTAGTATTTTCCTGATTTTCTAAATAGCCCTGATATGTTGATATAGATGAGTTAGCATGTCTCGTTTTGAGTTTGATCAGAGCACAAAAAGTTAGGATCCTGTCCTAAATAACATACAATTAAAACTGTATGATTCGACTACATGCTTTAAGTTCAAACACAAAACTCTTACTAACTACATTCTTACCCAAGTCACACATTTTTTGTTTAGGTAAACAATATTAACTGAAGATATTAACGCTAAAAAATCGTGACTGGAATCACTTGCATAAGAAAACGAAATGAAAATATTATGAAAACAGAAACATACCAGTACCAGCATCCAAATAAAGTAGAATAAAATTTTGATTTTCCACTGAATTCAACAATGGCAAATGATCTTTGACAAATTTGTTCTCCATTGATATGACTAATTGTAATGATGCACATTCAAGAGCTTGACAAGCGATATTACTATTAAGTAGACCTTGAGCACGTGTTATTGCTTTCGATAAAGCAGGATAATTATGTGAAATGCGTAATTGTGATAGAGTATTTAACGACTTAAAACTATACTGTTTTTGTACTTTATTTATTAGTGGTTTAGTTTCAACAGAACTAGATTCATTAGTTATTGAGGTAGTTGTTATTTTTGGGTCTGATATTATGTCGGTGGTATCACATGACATTGATGTTGAATTAGTTTGTTCGGAACCATTAGACAAATTGATTATTTGTTGTTCTACTTTCGATTGACTAGTAGGTGGTTTTATTAGCGGTTTATCACCTCGACTATTCAGCAATACACATGATAATTGATGCAAGTGTTTAGTAACCAGTTCAATATTTGACTTGGAACTATGCGATGGTGGCGGACGGAGTAGAACTAAACCATCACTGAAAACAATGAATAATAGTAGAAATTAAAGTATAGAACAGATTATTGTTACTCTACACAAGTAATAAGAAATGTTTACTAAAAATTTAATGACCTTTAATATTAATAAAAAGACAAATAAAAAAACATCAGAATACAAACAAGTAAATGGGAATGATGAGTGGACCGTGGATACTTTTGAATCTCGTAGTTTACATCATGGACTAATCATAGTTTAAAAAAACACACTGAGAACTACGAAGCACTGGACAGTAAGTGAATCCTTACAAGTACGCGTTGATGACCCTGCCAAGAATTGGATTCAGGATTTCGGTAACGCAGTAGGTACTAATTCTTTATATTACTGAGTTAGGATTCAATGATTTACATTTCCAATTTTAATCAATTCGGAGTGCCGAGCAACAAACTTCCGATACCTAGTATCCAGCACAGTTAAACTCCACTGGTTATGGCTTATAACTAGTGTAGTGAACAAAACACCAGTGGTGACAAACGAATGTATTTAACAACAAATCACAGAACTAGTTAGTAAAATCTAACAACCATATATTAAATGCTCCATTTGCAAAATGTTTATCAATTGTCTCAAATGACTCAGAATTCCTTTGTTCTTGCACTTTCATACAAATTGCATCCTTTCTTCATTCTTTATTGTTCGATCTTCTCGTCTCTCTGCTGCCAGACATTCTGTTCACGACTCACGTCATATACTACTTATGTCTACATAAGTAGCACACAACACACTAGAACTACAGGAAAGACCTTCAGAAAATCATCACTAGTAACATATCACGATAATGCATAAGAGTTGATTTGATGAATTTTTATTATTAACATTCTTAAAGTTTTGTGAAGCAAGGAAAAAATATAATTTTTTTTTGGGGGGGGGGAATAGAAATCTAGTTCTAATATTTCGACAATTAATTTACAACTATTGTGTCTATATGACATAGTTCGTTCCGAGCTACATTTTAAAAAATCCAACGTTAAGAAAATACATGACATAATAGTTTATGGCTAGCTGGATAGAAATAAATACACTTGTGAAACACTTCTCAAACTCTTACATTATATGCCCCCAAGTCAACACCTTTAGCTGAATCTGAAAAGTCAAACCTATTTTCCAGAGAGAAATGTCATACATCAGGTTAGCCAGAAATCATTGATATTAAAACATTGATATTAATATTCCGTTTCATGGTTTTAATATGAATTATGTAGAACAAACAGTAAAATCGGACACACGGGCATAAACAAACTCACATAGTAACTTCTTTCACATGAATACCGTATGGACCACAACGAGAATTTAATGAGCCCTAGTTACAGTGATAATAAATAAATAAATTAAACAACCAACGATTACTAGTCATTAAATACGTTTAATAGGAATTTAGAAATATCATATATCAACATTTTAATTATTTTTTCAAGTTATAGTAACGCTACTATAAAAAGAACTAAACAATGTGGATAAGGGTTTAACAATTGGAGTGTTTGTCATTTTTAAAGGTAGATTCGAATCCAGTTCCACTTAATTTGGTTTCGGTAGCCAGGTATTATGATTAGTTTGCGCATAAGCAGCATGACATAAAGCTGAATACATGAAACATGTGCTTGATAAATAAATGGGATTAATTAATTGTTCATTAATTGAAAAAGGATGATGAGATGAAAAATAAGGTGATAATGTAACGATTAGTGTAAGGGAATTGTGGATATTATTGAATCGCATAGGTTGCATCATGAACAACCGTTAATTGGACTATAGCAGCTCTCCTGCAGTCAATTTCGATTATGGTTCATTTTGGTTATTCGAACAATAACAACTCGTCTAATTCTTTGTACTATTATGATCACTATCTTGTATGTACAAATGTGTATGCTTAATCACATGACAGCCTACGCATATATCTCTCAATGGCTTAAATGTTGATAGCTTAGATATCGCTCGATCAATCATTCTCTTCTCACATATACGAAAAATACTCAGTAATCACAAATCACATATAGAGCATAGTTCATGTCAATTGAATACAAGAATATCGTATATTATACAGAATAAAATATCATACAGGAAAACAGAAACAAATATTACATTGAGTAATCAATACATTGAATCAAAACAGAAGTAATGTTGAATAAAACTCATAATGAGTAAATCAATCGAATCTTGACTTTTCTTTCCATTATATCAAAATAAGTATCAGATAATAGATAATTCTTGTAACTTATTACCAAATTCAGTGTTTCATAACTGTCCAGCTCTAATTTCAATTGAATTGTAAGCTAAGTATTATTTCCGAACTTTCAAAAAACTAGAAATTATTACCAATTATGAACTATATTTTATATTTTATGATGCATAAATCTACTTCAACAATGTTTCCAATCAAAATGAATCCAATAAATCCTTTTCAATTTAAACTTCCATATATAAATAATATTTATTGAACAAGACTTATTTATCGTAAGTTAGTTAATTCTTTTCTTTGTTTTGAGCAACGTATTTATTTATTTAAACATAAGCATTGGTAAAAGGAGGCATTAAATATACATGCGCCCCACTTTATCGTTCGGTTTGTGTAATGGCTGGGATACTGCCCCGGGTGGACAAATTGAAACATGATTTTAAGTTATGAGTATTAAATTATTTTTAAGACGAACAATGAGTAGGTATAATCATTGTATGAAACATGAATACTGAATCACACAGTTAATCGTTGTTAGAAATAAAACGAATAATAATTTAATATGAATAAATTATATTTAATAAAACAAACAAAAATTTTAAAATCTTACTTTTGTTTCATTAGCCAAGTCAATTTTTGCATTACCTTGTTCTAAATAATACCATTCTAAATGAGTTAATGCTGATAATAAACATAATTGAGTTTGTGTAGTAACAATATCTAAAGGGCTTTTATTAGTTATACTAAATGCATAATCCGATTCTAATAAATAAAATATTATTGAGCATGTCACTTCTACAACAGCTTCATCTTTTGTACCACCCTAAAAGGTAAAGTTTTTTTTAAAAATAAAAGAATAACAAAGGTTAAGTTCGAAGATGAAAAGAATAGTTTTGATGAGCTTAGTTTCTCATGTTCAATGAAGTATATATAATGATTTCAATTTTTTAATAGTGTAAACCGTACCAACACTGAAGTTATTGATTTAACGCTACGAGATTCTGACCACTTTCATGTAAGAATCTGAAGAAATCCAAAAAAGTTGCTTGAATTAACCTGATTAACCATTGAACAACTCTATCAAACTGATATTTTATGATTGAGAAGGTTAAAATTTTATTTTTTGAAATTCATAGGGGATACTGTGATATCAGGACGAAGAATAAGTGAATACTAACTGCTAGAATCTATTTATGAACTGTTACTATATATATATATATATATATATATATATATATATATATATTCTTATTGTATAACTATTAAGTAACAATATTACACGCATATTCATATTCCTTTTATTATAAGCTTCCGTTTGACCTATTGACTATTATTATATGACTTACTATTCTTAAGATATTCCCGATTTCTCACAATCACAGTCAAATTTTGGCTTGATCTTGTATAATTGTTATTTTCTGTTTTATGGTATGATGCAGTCTGGTTTGTTTTTATATATAAACCACGTATATCTGAAATATATGATTCGTATAACGGAGGCTGATATTGGTGTTCTGGACTGAACCGGATGGGTTAGGAGAGAAGCTACTACCTCGAAGTGACTCTAGGCTGTTCGGACTGATTTATGTATGCGTCATTGGTCTGGTCAATACATCGGTTTTCTAATCGGCGATGAGCATATTAAAAGAGGCAATGAACCAATGACATTTAAGGTCCTGTCAAGTAGGAAAAGTTACATGAATGTAGAAATGAGTGCTTTTGGCGCGAAAACAAGAAATTCAACTTTCCAAAATAAAACTACAAATATAAAACATTTACCAAGTGAGCGCTTCGAACTTTTATGTCAACACAGAGCTGTGTCTACAAATTAGGATGTGTCGATTGTGATGCCTTCCATATTGGAGAGTCATCTCGCGAAATCTTAACTTGAGCCAAAGAATATATTAGGTACACAAAGAAACCACCTAATAATCCGATAGAACTGGATAGACTTCAAATTAAATCGGCAATAGCAGTTCACTCCATTTTCAACAACCACCGAATCGATTTCAAAAACATCGAAATATTACAAAAAAGGCTTTTCCAACAACAAAGAAGAAAGAGTAGTTGAAGCTTTCCATATGATGCTTAATCCTCCTGCTCTCAATAGAAAAGAAGGCCTCACTATCCATCCGACTTGGACTATTTATCCGAGCTACCATGTCTGATATTATTCACATTTCACATTATTATCGTACATACAAACTAAACTCTATCCTTTCTCACCACCAAGGTCACATTTTTCATAATTGACCCTGCGCATACACACAAATTTACATACATGTCGCTTATAAATCACGTTGACTGAAATGACATGATATTGACGTAGTCAGACCTGTTTTTTGTTCCTTTGTACCATTTAAACTTGGAATAATTTTGATTTGGTTATTTATTCTCTGAAGAAAATGGCTTACACTGAGTCACGAAACGCCAAAAAATGTAATTCTTTTACTCATTGGGAAATTACAAATATATTATTTTTATTCATAACAATCTACCCAGTGTTCAATTTATTTGAAATGATCAAATCGAACCTTAGTAATGATACCTACAGTTCACATAAATGTTTAGTTCGGCATGTATTATACCCATTCATTATCAAATTTATCCCTCTGGAATTTGTTCGTTTTTTTTTCGAAATCGTTACCAGATGGTAAAGTGCTAATAGATTTATGTGTTAATTACTGTCATCCTCAATTTTCTAAGGAATGGAGATTTGCTAACTGGAAAATACTAAGCTATAACTCAGCAATTTAAAGACAACAGTCTTACAGCCAAACTTGAAATTCTTAGTTTTCTAACAGTCCTTGCAAGGTAGTCAGTGTGCACTATTGATGAGTCTCAAACAACTAACCGGCACTTCCTGATTTTTAGTAGTTTCTCAGCAGTCGTTGATTCGTGATTAAAACAATAAACTAATCTCCACAATCCATTTAAATGAATATTATTATTATTATTACTATTATTATTATTAGTTGTCAATTATTGTGTAACAATTTAAGTCATTTTACAATTGTTTTTGGTCAATGTACTAAAATTTAGTTTTTGGTAATACATATTGAAAAACTAATCCTTTGTGTCATTTGAAGTTTTGAATAAATATACTGTGATATTTTATCAACTTATCTACATATTGACTGTTACGTGATGGTGTTTGACTTTTCAAAATAATGATTCACATTACACTAAAGAATCTGACTCAATAGAATATTATAGTTAATATTTGACGATTGTTGAATTTTATAGTTTACATCCTGAATTCGCTTTAGTTAGATATCTATTGAAAACTGGGTTCCTGAGTTTGAGACCGCGTGAAGTAGTGGATAGGGACTGGTACGAAACAGATATTTAATGCGTCCTGATTTTTAATGATTATTTAACTAGGGTTAATTTGTATTGTAAATTATTAAAATATAAATGAAACAGTGAAACTGTATACAGACTTTATTCATTATATCTAATTAACCAAACTAAATAAAATGGAAAATGTCTAAGACAGTTGTACAATCAACAAATAAACATTAGAAATTGTATGAATCAGAACAGCACTTGCTCATTGATTTATGAATGTGCTTGTTCAAATTTCTTTTTTTACAAAAACGCAATAATAATATAGAATTTAATTTTAAAAAATAAGCCTGAAATTTGAAAAAGTAGTTTTTAATAAAGTTTGTAGATCTAACAACAGTAACAATAGAAAATTTCTTTCAGATTTAACTGATAAACAAAAATGAAAAATGTGTACTTAGATTAAATTGTATGAAAAAAATTAAGCATAACTGATAAACTAATAGAAAAGTTTGGGGATAAACTCCACGTTGCCAAGTCATTTAAGAGCGCCGTAGTCATTAGTTACAGTTATGTTTTCGTCTAATTAATCACTCCATCGTAGACATTTTTGAGTAATCTCTATTATATAATTGATTGGAGACATAACTTTTGGTGTGTTGTAAATTTTCTATCATCATGATTAAGTTTACTACACTTAACACGCCCGTAGAATGATGAAGTGGATTTTCGTGTTAAGCCAGTGAAAACGGTAAAGAACGAAATACGCCCTCCAGTATGAATAACGACAATATAAATGATAATTCCCGCTTCATTTTGGTTGGTTAACAGATGGGGGATCAAAATTTGCAAACACATTATAATCTTGGTTGGATGATTATCGACTTTGTTACCAATCTTAGAATGTTTTTAGGGCCTCATATAATATCTAAGTCAACTATAAACCTATAAATATCATTGTTTGTGTACTTAAATTACTGGGCGATTCGCAAGAGGTTAGAAAGTCAGTATCACAGCGTTCAAGTACCATGAACACGACAAATACTTTTTTTTAAACATCTATAAAACGAATAGTCACTCACAGATACAGGTTTAATTTTTACTAGTTGATCATCGAGAGTAATTAAGTGGTAACGATCACATATAGGCAACAGAAATACCCAACCTGAGGGAAAAAGAATTAAAATTAATGATAACGACAACATAATTTGTCAGATTAAAGCTATAAATTTATGTAACATATGCTAGTACGTGTGAATAAAACAATACAACCAAATGCATTGCATAGACTGAAAGAAACAAACACGAGAAAACACTATATCAAACGTAGTGTATATCACCTTCACATACAGTAAGAGGAAGGGAACATACGTTATCACTTATAAAAATACAAGCAATCAAATACTGATACAACATTTGATTGGAAAAATGTTATTTTTCTGGAATAAGGCAATGCTAAGATTGTTAGAAGCATGAAATTTGGCTCAATTTACAATCGAATCAACGGAAACCCAATTTATTCATCCGTAAGGAAGAAGCCAGTCAATCAATCGGTCAAAAGTTAACCGAACGCAACAGTAAACAAGAATCAAAAAGCATATTAGGATTAAAATAAATCTATGAGAAAGTCAGTCATATACCAGGTTATGAAAATAAAATTATTTCGTACTTGTAAAGTAATTTGAAAGACGCTACTATTTATTTGAAGTAGGCATTGATAATATTGTTTATTATTTATTTTAACACATAGGTATTGGTACAAGGAGGCACCAAATACATATGCGCCACACGAATCTCAATTGATTTGTGTGAGGGCTGTGATACTGCCCGGGTGCCCAGACCGAAGCAGGTGGTTTTCTCAGGGGGCCACACCCCGAGCTTTTGACTTAAAGGTCTAACCCACAATGCAGTGGAGCATCGTGAGAAGATGCAGTCCCATAATAGCCGGTGACCAGAAATTGGTTCATACGCCATTTGTTCCCTCAGGATATTGGAGCCCATGTGCACCATTGATTTGGGATCCGGTTAAAGCGCCTGACATTCGCTTTTCGTTTTCTCATTTTCGTAAACAACACCCTCTCCACGAGAAGGTGCGAGAAGGCAGTGAGTAGGACTTCCCTGGCAGAGGCTGTATACGCGTGGCCATGTGAGAGCATTTCGAGAGGGAGAGCAGACTCTCCCCACTCTCAGCCGTACCAGGGCATCGTTTAGAACGATAATTGTGTAGCGAACGAGAAATCATATATAAGTAGTACGTAGCACCAAAATGGAAGTTTTGTAATAAAATCAAACAGTTCACGGGATGCAATAACATCGAGCGAATCGAGTTAAATTGTTAGTTTCAATGATTTTGCGTCTATTTGATGCAGCATTATAAATACTAGTACTCTGACAAAATCAGAAATGAGAAAAGATAAATGGTCAAACGGTTGAATACCAAGTCACATAAACTACTGGGTTATAACTTAATAAGAAAGGTAAAAAATAAGAATAAATAGTTTGAAGGATAGAGCGGATAATCTTATCAAGTCATATTTTAGAACGGCCTAATAAAAGGAAAATCAATTAGGGAAATAAAATGTTAAAGTGATGTAAAGAACACACAAAAATGTTTGACAGTGAAAACACTGAAATTTTGGACAGAGACAAAACGATGAAGATCAGAACATTCCTAATACCTTAACATTTAGGACGGTTAGTGGTCAATATGTGGAGATAGACTTAGTTTACCAGCCTGTCGGAAAAAACCATAAACAAACGTAATTACAAGAATTAGGTCAAGGAAGGAGACAATCAAAATAAGCACGTATATAATGACAGGACGTGACATCAAAGGCAATCAAATTCAGGGTCGACAAATAAGGCTGCTTGCTAATCAAATATGAAGGAATTTTAATAGCTCACATTTATCTGAAGCTTGTTTTGATATGACCTAGAAAGATAGTGAAATTGAGATTAAATAATCGGATTGAATGGAACACTAGCGTTTTTGATTATGAAAGTTTCACAAACTATTTAGATCTATCAACAACGGTTTTATAATTTTTGAGCATTCTTCACAACTTAAGAATTAAAGGATTCAGTAAGTGCATTAAAATATGTCTTTAGGTAGAACGAATCAAGATATATACAGATATACTACAACAAATTTATGAGATGCAAAACACTATGACTAATGAATAATTTAATGTTTTAGGTTAGTTCTACATCATGGTTACCGCAGCAGTAACGTTGTCCTACGATTAAAACAACGTGAAAAAGTTTATAGTAATAAGGAGAATATGCAAATGCAACAAATAAAAATACTTGTACCTTAAACGGAATGGGCAGTTCTTGTAGAAATTTTGGAGTGAAGCAAATAATCAACAGCATTTAAATGTGTCCGTGTGTTTCAACAACAATTAAATTGATTTTTTCACACATATTTTAGGCCACTTTATATCTATACACATTGTTAGGCTGGCATCCCATCCCTAAATTATTTGTTGAGAAACACATTATAATGCATGATAATGAAATATTTAGTAACCCTTACATGACCTATGAAAAAGACTCAGTTTTTCATCGCAAATTAGCACTCTCAACAATAAAATATACATTTTAAAAATAAATGTTACGAAAACAATTATGCATAGAAGGATTAACCAGTACTTCTTGTGTTTAAATGTCTTCATTCACAAATTCATTATGCAGAACCTCAGAAGCAGTTGATACAATATTTCATGATAAAAACGTGACTACTTAACCAGATTTAGTAGTTAAACGAATAATACTAAAAATGTCTAGTTTTGCTCATCTATATTTCATTGAAATCATGAAGCGATCAATGTCAGAATACTATTCAAAACCTGGAAGCACTGGGCGGTCGTTTCGTCCTAGTGTGGGATTCCTTAGCAATACATATCCACGGAACCACATGCGAGACTCAAACCAAGGAATCTCAGTCTCGCACGAACGCTTAACCTACAAACCAGTGGACGGGCATCCAACGGTGTTAACCTCTATCTTTAACTCATCCTGATATTACGCAATTATCCTCCATTGTTTTCGGTGGGTAACTGCCTCACAACCGACGCTGTTGAACTCCACTGGTCACGGGATTGAAGGTGCATACTGATGAGGAGTTCCATGTTGGGACAAAACGACCGCCCAGTGTTTCCAGGTTTTCAATAGTGGTCTAACGTTGATTGGTTCATGATTTCAATGAATTTCAACAATCTCTACAACCTTATACTAGAAAGTGTCCGTATTTATTGAAATTATATGAGATTTGTAGTAGTTCTCCGATTTAAGAGGAGCAATTTACATTCACATGAGCAATTTTCGATAAAACGTTCTGCGAAGAAATATCGAAACAGTTAAATTATTTAAATAAAGCATCATTATCAAGATTCGACATGATAATTTGTTATAACGCCCGGAGTTCCCTCGTATTTACAAATGGAGTGTTAATTTGCCTTAGACGGATATCTAAATTAAATTCCTTCCTAGTGTCTATTCTACAGGACATCAACGCAACTCATCAAGAAAATGTGATTAGCCTGACTAGAAGGTAAATATATTTCCACACCAAAAACCGACTACAATCCAAAAACAATCAATGATAATAATAAGGAAAGGAGTATATAGAACTCATTTAACGCCAGTCAGACTATTTACTAGTCTGACTAAGCAAACAACCAATCATTTCAATTAAGTTAAGAATCCAAAAAAATTAAATCAGCAACAGCAGCACTTATTATACTCAACAACCATCAAATCGATATAAAGACAAATATTCAAATAATTACGAAAAAAGGTTTCTTTAACTATAAAGAAATGTGAGCAATTTTTATGCACTGTTTAGTACTAGTGAGTTCAAAAAGAAAGAAAGAGCTACTAGTTATCTGACTGAATTGTATTGTATATTTCACAGTTACAATTAATCAAATGATAAGACAGCAAGAATTAAGTCTGATAGCTAGACATTAATTTCACTGGAGATTGAATAACTTAGAGTTCTCATTTACTAAATTCATTTATGATAAGTGATTTTTAATTTTTTAGTTTGATCTTTTGTCTGACCGCCTAATAACTTTATAGTTGGAGACTTACATCGATAGTTCTGTCCTGTCAGTATCCACAACTCTGTTATATTGTATCATTGAATTCTATTCATTCACTTTAACTATTACAAACCTTTTAAATCCCTTACTATATCACGTATTTGAGGTCAAACTGCGAATACAAGTGCAGATTAAAATTTAATGATCACATTTGTCCACAAACGCATCAATATGCACAAAACGCGTATCATGTATAACCACATTCCCCCCAAATGAGATGAGATTAGCATAATTAAACTTGTTTACTTGTGCTAATTATTTGACGTACATATGATAAATATATAAATGTAGAGCCATGGTAAAGAACTGACTGAAAATAAATTTCCTCGCTTTAATTGTCTTTTTAGTTAAATGAATATGAATTCACAGTTCGCTTTAATTAAAATCAGTAAATACTCATTATTATTTGACGTAGGAGTGATAGTTGAGTTTAGAAAATCTCTGCTACCACACCACTACCTCCAGTTACAACTAAATAGACGACCACAGCTCTTTAGTGATCGGACTATGAGACGTGACAGATAACTAAGATTTATCTATTACACTATAATCGAGTGTTTGATAGAAATGAGACTGTTCACATACACTTTAACCTGCTAACTAGGTTGATACATCTTAATAAAAAATATCCAACTTTACTGTACTTAAATTAAGTATGAATAGATTTGATTAGCCGACTATGCTGTTTGATACGAGTATGGTGACTACGAATTGTTTAAAACACTTATTGATAAGCCTTCTAACTGAAAGCTAGATTAGGTTCCTAAGCTCTTCTAATAACCCCCAGGCTACATCTACACAGCAACTTGAACAAGAGAGAAAAAGCGCATAATATGGAAAAAACGCTTTACTCCAAAGGTTCGCTTATATGCAAAAAATCTAGAAATTTTATAGTTTTTTGGATGTCCTTGAGTTTCTTGAAAGTTCTAGAGTGCTACTAAACATAGTACCAGCATAAGTAATCATCTAATCAGAAACTCGACATGTGACTTTTAACTTCCTATATGTTTCTGGTGCACCCCAAAAGCCCTGGTATGGCCGAGAGTGAGGTGGGTTCGTCCACCCTCTCAAAATACTCTCATATGGCCACGCGTATACAGCCTCTGCCAGGGAAGTCCTACTCACTGCCTTCTCGCACCTTCTCGTGGAGAGGGTGTTGTTTACGAAAATGAGAAAACGAAAAGCGAATGTCAGGCGCTTTAACCGGATCCCAAATCAATGGTGCACATGGGCTCCAATATCCTGAGGGAACAAATGGCGTATGAACCAATTTCTGGTCACCGGCTATTATGGGACTGCATCTTCTCACGATGCTCCACTGCATTGTGGGTTAGACCTTTAAGTCAAAAGCTCGGGGTGTGGCCCCCTGAGAAAACCACCTGCTTCGGTCTGGGCACCCGGGCAGTATCTCAGCCTACACACAAATTTAATGAAAATGATGATATTCACTAAAAACTCTATTCTCGCTTCGATTTACAGTCAAACAATTCACATTATTATTATTATTATTATTATTATTATTATTATTATTATTATTATTTTACCACGTCACTTATTCACTCTCTCTTATTCCCACTTTATGTATCCGTTTCGACTTAGACAGCAGCTCACCTATGGTGAAAATTCGGCTCTATCTAAACGTTCTCCAGTCATTGCCTGGTTGAAAATTGTATGTTGCCACCGAATATGAGTACTGAAGCAGTTTTTCTGAAACCACGTACACCATTCAAACTGGTTGCCTTCAACGATCGCACACTTATGCAGGTCGGACAACAGATAGGGCTGGCTATGTCTTTGGAAAGTCTTAATATTGACGTTTGTTGTCTATCCCAGACCCGTATTCAAGACTCTGGTGAAGTACTACAAGTTCGCTTTCCATCTGTCGCTTCAAAAAGCTTGTTTTATGTGCGTTTACCCGGGGACCCTGTGGCATCTTCGTCTGGTCTTGCTGGCGTTGGTGTCGCACTAAGCGCTAGAGCTGAGGCAGCACTAGTCGACTGGATCCCCATTAACAGTCGGTTATGTGCTGTTAGATTAGAAAGTTCCATCAAAGTGAGAACAAATCGGTGTGAGAAACGATGTCTTTTCGTCATCTACGCCTATGCCCCGACAGATTGCAGCTCGGATGCAATCAAGGATGAATTCTACTACCAGTTAACTGTTCTTCTCCAGAAAGCGCGTTCGACAGATATTGTAGTACTAGCCGGAGACTTCAATGCTCAGGTCGGGCGTCTAGGCACAGAAGAGAGTCGTTTAGGTGGCCGATGGGGACTCGTTGGTCGCAGGACAGATAACGGGGAACGTCTACTGCAACTGTGCACAGACCACAACCTGTTTCTGGCTAGCTCTAACTTCCGACACAGATATCGACGATATGCCACCTAGCGACCTCCCTCTACATCTCTGGCCTGGATTCACATTGATCACATCGTGATCAGCTACCGCTGGCGTGGTTGTGTACAAGTCTGCCTCTGCTTTTGGAGTACCTATCTGGACTCTGATCATACCCTTGTTTGCGCGACTCTTACCATACTTTTCAGTGGCCAACGAAGTGACCGCCACCAAAGGATTGATGTTAGCAAGCTGGTTGCAACTTCTGTTGCAAGTAAGTAACGAACTGGGCCAGCTTCTAGGCTAGCTACCCTCCCACTGAAAAGTATAGATGAGCATTGGTTGCAATTGTATGACGCCATGAAAATGGCGGGTCAAGTCAGTTGTAGGTTCGAAAAACGTCCCGCTTATAAGCACTGGGTTTCTTCAGGCTCCTTACAACTCATGGAAGCCCGTCGGTCTACTTCGAGTGATCGTGAGTTTGACCACAAACGAAGACTGTTAAGAAATGAAATTGGGCAAAGCTTGCGTAAGGACCGAGAAGCCTAGTGGTCGGAGCGTGCTAATGAGTTGGAAGTAGCGGCTACATTTGATAACTGCCGGAAGCTCTGTCAACTCATCCGAGCCACTGGCAGCAAGAAGTCTGGTGTGAGCGAAAAAATCTGTGAAGATGACGGAACGCCAATCTCTAACACCCAACTCTTAAAGCGTTACAAATCACCGAGCCCAGATGACTTATTTTTGACTCTTTTTAAAGATAGTTGTGACTTTCTGGTTAAGGAACTGACAACGTTGTTTAGAAAGGTCTGGGAGCTAGAGAGTGTTCCAACTTCATGGAATAAGTCGATAGTTGTCCATATCTTTAAAAAGGGTTCACGTCGTTGCTGTAACAACTATCAGGGGATAAGTCTACTTCCGATTGCTTTCAAACTATTGGCTTCTGTCATACTTCGCAGGTTGTTCAAAACCCGAAAAAGATTGACCCGTGAGGAGCAGGCTGGTTTTCGTTCTGGTCGAGGATGTATTGATCATATCTTCACCCTCCGCCAAATTTTAGAACACCACCATACTTATCAAAGGCCAACAATCGTAGTGTTTCTTGACATCAGGGTTGCCTTTGATTCGTTGGACAGAACTGTTCTCTGGGATTGTCTATTAATCAAAGGTGTGCCTGAGAAGTTTATTAACATCCTAAAAGCCCTATACACAAACACCTCAGGCAGAGTGAGGGCATACAACCACCTTTCTCCATTGTTCCATTCAAGCAGTGGGGTTAGACAGGGTTGCCCAATCTCACAATTCCTCTTCAACTTTGCCATCGATGACATTCTGGAAACAGCTCTGATGGGTGTAAGTAATGGTGGTGTGAATCTGTTGCCTGGAGAAAGACTTCTCGACCTTGAGTATGCGGATGATATTGTCTTACTGTGCGAGAATGTTCAAGCTATGCAATCCGCACTTAATCAGTTGGCAGTCAATGTCCGTAGGCATGGTATGTGCTTTGCACCTTCGAAGTGCAAAGTACTTCTACAAGACAGGCAGGATTCTAATCCTGTACTCACTCTGGATGGTGAGCAGATAGAAGTAGTCGAGAAGTTCGTGTATCTGGGTAGCTGCATAAGTGCTGGTGGTGGCGTGAGTGAGGAGAACAATGCATGTATAGTGAAAGCCAGAGCGGCTTATGCCAATCTGGGCCATCTTTGGCGCCTTCGTGATGTCAGTCTGGCTGTAAAAGGTCGGATCTACAACGCATCGGTGGGAGCAGTTTCGCTCTATGCTTGTGAAACCTGGCCTCTCTGAGTTGAGGATGTTAGACGTCTCTCTGTGTTCGATCATCGCTGTCTCCGAAGGATTGCTGACATTCAGTGGCAATACCATGTCAGTAATGCAGAGGTTCGGCATCGTGTGTTTGGACACGGACGACAATCCAATTGGTCTCATCATCCTGAAACACCGACTTCGGTGGCTTGGATATGTTCTACGAATGTCGTCCCAGAGAACTCCTCGTCGTGCATTATTTGCCGACTCTGGGACTGGTTGGAAAAAGCGGAAAGGTGGACAGTGTATGACATGGTGTCGTGGTATGAAAGAAATCTGCAAAGGGCTGGCTTGTGTTGGTCCTTCACGACTCCCTGGCTGTGGTCCGAGAGATGGTGTAACACAGTGGCTAGAGACGTTATCAGATATGGCTCAGAATAGAAGCCAGTGGCGATCCTGCTGTAACCTTCTTTTACTTTCTTCATAAAAAGTGGTTGCTTCTTCCTTGACTGAAGGATTTCTTCTGATTGTACCTTTTCGTTTCCCCCATTATTACTGCTATCACACTACCTCACACTAATCTGGTCGTTATTGTTCTCTTGTTTTTTTTTATTCCCTACGCTCCTTACCTTTTTTTCCCTGCTCTTTAAATTCCCATTGTTTTATGTGGCGCATATATATTTGGTACCCCCTTGTACCAATATTTATGTGTTCAGATAAATAAATAAACAATAAAAATCTGGCGAAACTTCTAGTGAACGCTGATCGGATAAGATGCTTCTCAGTGTTTCCAGAGTCTTTCCTGGTTTTTTTCAAAGAGTTTCCTGGATCTCCCTAACACTTATATCATTACTTTAATAAAATAGAGAGTCTATGACTAACACTGGAATCAACGACGTGTGTTTCGTCATATTTATAACGCGTCAGCTGGATATAATAAATCCTGGTGTTGATATTCACAATGGGACTCGAATCATGTACTTTTCACTTTAAATGGAAACGTTTTATCTACTGAACTAGAGCCCAGATAGTCACTGACTTATTTGATGCGTATGGTGTTTATATCAATATAATTAAAAGTTTGAGTTAGCCCGGTGTTGATACTCAGGACTAAATTTTGATTAGCGTTTGCTGACACATGTGTGTCGTATGTGAATCGTCTCGATATACTTAATTTGTCCTGAATTCCACCGCTAACCACAACACTTCCAAAAAATGGTGATGATGCAATATGATCAGAGTACACACATCAAGAGAGACTAAAAAAATTCAGTCTTGGATACCAACAAAGGGATAATTCAAACCTTTACTAATAAGACTAATGATTACTTTAAAGAAACTATGTTTAACATACCAGGTCCTTTAGACTTCATTCGTTTCCCGAGTCGAAATACGATGATTCGTTCACTTTTCGTAAGATGCTAATAACGGAAGAAACGTCGTACTTTTAAAGAAAATTAATTTCAGTTTATTTTACCATACGAGTTTATACCGAATCATAAAGCTTCAGTAAAATATAAACAAGTGTAAGGGGAGACTTCCTTATTCTATGTACTGTTTGGTTAAGAAATTAAAACCCAATCAACAAAAATGACATATGATTTGCAATATAGATGAAAGACTTTTTTATGTTGGATTAATTCAAATCTATTCACATTCACCTCAACATTACTCCTCTCTACATTTATCTAAGGGGAAAAGTAATATAAAGACCTATCTGAAAAGGAAGGGAATTAGAAAGCCTGTAGTAAACCAGCTATTGAACTGCAAAACAAGCGATGATCGATAACTCATTGATACCTCGAGTATTAATAATAAGCACGTACGATGAGACTGGAACTCACTACCTTTCATCGCTTCAAACGCTTAGTGTTTTATCCACTAAGATACTGAGCCCAGATAACCACCAACCTTTTATTATTCAACAAGTATACCAATAATGGGAGATTACGATTCTTTACTAATAACTTACAACTTCACTTTGTATATTCACTTGTTCATATTTATATAATAAGTTAGGTTATATTCACATCACATACTCAAGTATAGAGAAACTAACATTCTTTCCCTACCTTGTTATTATGATCTAAATGAAATTTTTAATTTTATACAGAATATAGTAAGTCATTTGATTGATCTGTTAATAAGCGTTTGATTTATTTCAACATAGGTCCCACAAAAAATGGCGTAATTTGAAAATCCACCCAAAATCACCGCACATTTACAAAATCTATTTTGATCTTGGCATCAAAATGACCAAATGCATATATTTACTTATCATCCTAAAATTTATTAAAGTCCGAGAACTATTAAGCAAGTTTATAGTCTTAGAAGATCAATTCGTTTAAAAATGAAAGATACAAGAAAACAGCTAAACTAAAAATACTAAAGACGAAAATTTTCATGTAAACTGAAAATAGTTTGCACTATAATACACCACATAAAAGGATCTGTAATCAACTCACCTTCACATAAAACCAACACAAGAATGGAAAGAATACAATCAATAATAAAGCTGATAGGACAAGGAATGAATAATGTAATCGATTGTTTACATTTTTGGAATATCCAGTATCCGTAAAATCAAAAATGTCTAATTGACAATCTATAACTAGAATTACAGAAAAATGATGAAATGAATATGAAGTGATGACCAGAAATATCTTACATTTCCTCTTTAGTAATCAAAGCGAATTCTCTACATTGGTATATACTAGTTATAATAAATTTCGGGGTTTACAACACAAATTGATCTTAGATAATCATTGAGAACCAGGGAGCAATAGACAGATGATTCTTACAAATATTAGATTCCTCAGAAGAGCCCATTCACGATTCGGACGAAGTTTGAACTCACAACATTTAGGTCTCAAGAAAGCATATCAACCCTCAGCCATTACTCAATGGTTTACATATTTAACTTACTAGTGGCTGGCCTTGAAGAACAACTGAAATTATAGCGAAAACCCGTGACTAGGGGTTCAGCTTTGTTCGGCATGTAATAATTATTACTAAAGGCAATGGATGATGGTCGCATATCATCATCGAATGACTAGAATTATCAATATGAACCACTGAATCCGAATCGATTGATCTAAACTTTAAGCGATCACTGCGATACCTGAAGGTCCTGGGTCTAGTTCCCGATGGAGTCTTGGATATACACTGTTGGGAAGCTTTGTAATGGATGAAAATAATAACTAGAGTCAGTCCGTGATGCAAACTATAAGATTCAGCAACTTTAACGACACTATACAATAAATTATGGCAGAAGTAAATACTCGTTAAAGTTCGTTATGTATAGAGAAAAATACGATAACTATCGAACAAATTACGCAGACAGGTAATAGGTGAATTAAGGATATATATATATATATATATATATATATATATATATATATATATATATATATATATATATATATATATATTACTGGTAAACGTGGAATAAGCTTCATAGTTGGTAAGTCATAAAAAGCTACAAGCACTAATAATAGTTCCTGACCGTTGTTGCTACCTTGACGTGGTGGTCGGGCTTGCCTATCGTGATGAAGCAACTGAGCTATACTGGCTGGAACAACCGTTCCTCAAGGTCCTACCATGCCAGACAGGTCGGTTGAAGAGCGGTAAGACTTAAAGCAACAAAACCAAGGTCCGAAGGCGAAGTCGTACTGCTGACTGTACAGAGGTGTGACAGCAGTAAGGTGTTTCCTTCGGACAACCAGCATGACAGCGATGCTGCCTTCCCACAAGGAGGGGTGGGGTTAGAAAAGGTCGACCCTAAAAATGCACACCTCGCCTTATCCCACGGATATCCGTCTCCGGCGGTAAGGACTCAACAAGTACGGAGCTAACACAAAAATCACTCATAAAAAGGTCGTGTGTGACCGACCTCAAGCAGCTGTCCCTTGGGCACTGTGGTCACGCTCTCAGGTCACTATGACCAACTCTAATCCAATTTCCTTTTCAGGTACCTCCAGAAGAACCCTTCCACGATGTGGGCAACCGGGAAGTGATAACCGCCCTCATACCTCTAACAGCACTCAAGACCACTGTATTCATAATCAACCTCCCTCTTCAATTCCTATTATTCCTCCTACATCGACTTTATACACTAAACTTCCTCTTTTAGCTTCCTCCTCAAGTGTCACCACAGCCAACAATTCTAGTGCTCAAAACACTGTCCCAGGTCTACTGAAACCTCGCTCCAAACTACAGATTGGAGCCTTCAACGTACGCACACTATGCCAAATCGGTCAGCAGGCTTCCTTGGCTAAAACCTTAGAATCTCGTACCATTGATGTATGCTGTGTCTCCGAAACACACATACAGGATCCTAGTGTGGTCATTCACTTGACCTCACCTCGGCAAAACGGAGAGCCAACGAGATACACCCTCCGTGTATCTGGCGACCCGATGGCTAGTTCTCGTGGACTGGCAGGTGTAGGCATAGCACTTAGCATGAGGGCGGAACAAGCGCTATTAGAGTGGATCCCCGTTAACAGTCGTCTATGCGCTGTTCGGCTAAACGGCTCCGTAAGAACTCGGAAGGATAGGGACACATGTCGTTGCCTTTTCGTCGTTTCTGCCTACACTCCCACTGACTGCAGTTCGGATGAAGTGAAAGATGAATTTTACAGAAAGCTGTCTGAACTTCTTCAGAAAGCTAAACGTTCAGACATAGTACTCGTAGGAGGTGACTTTAATGCCCAGGTAGGTAGCTTAAACAAAACAGAAAGACATTTAGGTGGGTATTTTAGTATTCCGGCACAGAGAACAGATAATGGTGATCGTCTACTGCAACTGTGTTCAGACAATCGTTTATTTTTAGCAAACACAAATTTTAAGCATAAGGAGAGACATCGTCTAACATGGCGACCCCCTGCACCAAACCAACGATGGACTCAAATAGACAATATTGCCATCAGTGATCGTTGGAGAGGGTCAATAGAAGATTGTCGCTCATTCTGGGGTACCTGCTTGGACTCTGATCATGCCCTAGTACGAGCACGCATCTGCTTGCGCCTCACTGGACGCAAAAGAGCCACACAAAAAAGACTCATTAGAACCGAATTGAGTAATGAGAAAACCAAAAGTAGGTTCCAGGAACAACTGAGGTCACACTTAGGTATTTCTGAAAACGAGACTGACCCAGATGTTGCTTGGAAAGTTATACAAGCAGCTGTGGAAACAGCAGTGACATCTACCAGTGATTTAAACCAAATGGTTACAAAAAACCAATGGATTTCGTCAAGGTCTATTGCACTGATAGATTCTCGCAAACTCATCCCATCAGGTTTTGAATACGATGAAGAGCGTAAAGAAATCAAATCTAGATTAAGCAAAAGTCTAAGGAATGATCGTGAGCAGTGGTGGGCAAAGAAAGCAAAAGAGATGGAAAAGGCGGCGGCTATAGGGAACACAAGACAACTCTACAGACTAATAAAAGAAACTGGAATTAATAAATCAAGTGTAAGTCAGACCATTTCGGAAAAAGACGACACTCTCATCTGCTCCCAGTCCAGACGCTTAGAACGATGGGCGGAACACTTTAAGGAGCAGTTTAGCTGGCCTTCAGCTACTCTACAACTACCCTCTATTCCCAGACAGTGTGAATGGAACATTGAAGTAGGTCCCCCAACTCTAGCTGAAGTTCAAAAGGCTATAGCTAATCTGAAACGAGGAAGGGCAGCTGGTCCAGATGGATTGGCCCCAGAGGTCTTTAAGGATGGTGGTCTAGTCTTAGCGATTAGGTTGACTAATATTTTAGCTAAAATCTGGGAGTTAGACGTTATTCCATCTAACTGGTCACAATCACTTATCGTCCCAATATTTAAGAAAGGGTCAAAATCGTCCTGTGACAACCACAGAGGGATTAGTTTGACTAATATAGTATCTAAAATACTAGCTTCGATAATTTTCGGACGCCTAACTAAAACTCGTGAACTGCAAACACGTGAAAATCAGGCTGGCTTCAGACCTGGTCGTGGCTGCATCGACCACATATTCACCATTCGTCAGGTTCTAGAACACAGGCATACTTATCGGCGTCCGACCATGGTGGTATTCCTTGACTTAAAAGCAGCGTTTGACTCTGTTGACCGAGAGGTTCTGTGGCAGTGTCTGTCATTGAAAGGCGTACCTCAGAAGTACATAAACCTTGTGAAGGCTCTTTACTCGAACACTACTAGTCGGGTCAGAGCCTATGGCGAACTGTCATCTGCTTTTGCAACCTCAAGTGGCGTCCGTCAAGGCTGTCCACTTTCTCCTTTTTTGTTTAACTTTATCATAGACATCCTGATGGAAATAACGCTCTCATCGACTGACTTCTCGGGTATTGATCTCCTACCAGGAGGTACACTTATTGACTTAGAATACGCAGATGACATAGTCCTGTTTGGTGAAGACGCTGATGAAATGCAGAGTCTTTTGGTAGCACTGAGCAACAATGCTAGAATGTTTGGGATGCGCTTTCCTCCCTCTAAATGCAAGTTGTTGCTTCAGGACTGGTCTGCATCAACACCTGAACTAAGGATAGGGGGTGAAGTAGTCGAACGCGTTGACAACTTCACTTATCTTGGAAGTCTGATCAGCCCTAATGGGTTGGTGTCTGACGAAATCTCAGCACGGATTCGAAAAGCTCGCTTGGCCTTTGCCAACTTACGTCATCTATGGCGAAGGCGAGATATCCGTCTATCAATTAAGGGACGAGTATACTGCGCGGCAGTTCGTTCCGTCCTTCTATACGGCTGCGAAACATGGCCTTTAAGATTGGAAGATATTGGTAAGTTCCTAGTATTTGACCACAGGTACCTTAGAAATATTGCGGGTATCTGCTGGGATCACCGGGTAAGTAATAGTGAGGTTAGATGCAGGGTATTAGGGAATGATGGTAAATCAGTTGTAAGGTTATGAATCTTCATAGACTGAGATGGTTGGGCCACGTGTTGCGTATGCCTGAACACCGATTACCACGTTGCGCAATGCTAACTGGTGTTAGGGATGATTGGAAGAAAGTTAGGGGCGACCAAACCAAAACGTGGCATCAGTGCTTGAAGTCACTAACTTCTGGTCTGAGCCATGTTGGGAGATTCAGACTGCCTGGTTGGGGTCCGCGTGACTATCGTAACCAATGGTTGGAGACTCTTGGTGACATGGCTCAGAATCGATCACAATGGCGTCGGTGTATACACTCTCTGTCTTCCTTAAATTAAGAGATTAAAATCGCTTCATATCTGTCTAGGAACTAATTCTTTCTTCCTTTACTATCTCCTTATACACAATCTTTCTTCTATATATTACCACTACTGAATTAACTACTATGAATCCGGTGTTCATCTTGTTGTGCTAATGCGGTATGGCAACTTGGACCGATGCATATACGTGCTTGGTCCTACGTTGCAGCTGACTGACTGACTGACTAATAATAGTTGATGCACACATTGAGAAAGAAGTAAACGTAAATAGTTCTCTACCACGCCAGAGAAATAGATTCATTTAATGTCAACCTTGATTAAAAAACTGCATGATTTCAGAACTTAAATATCTAAACACGAAAATCAATTTTTAAAAAAAAACTAAACCATGTTTTATAATTCCAATCATGAAATAGGCATAACAAAACAAACACGTCTTGGCATCTTAAGTTGAGGTTCGATTAAAGTACTACATTGACCACAGTCAATAAACAAGTGCGAGCAGCGACTTAAAAAATAACACGCATTTCAAATCGTATAATTTATTGATATACCCTGGTGCGGAGTCTTAATATTTGACGTAGCTGGATTAATAGGTTTGATAATCACATCTGATTATTTTGTATAGCTCCTTTTTCAATGGAGATTATCAAAAACTTAATCGTAAGTTAAGCTATGAGAAGATAATCTTAATTATTCAAAATGAAAAAGTGATTCTGAATAGAAATTGTTAAACAAATATACTTCAGATTAGTAACCTTAGATAGTTTAAAAAATCGCGATGATATGTGTGCATTTTTTAGTCAATGAAATAGTCAGTCAGCGTATGGCCAGGCACAAATGTGCATCAGTCCAAGTTGCCACAAGATGAACACCAAATTTATAGAAGTAGTTACTTCAATAGTAGTAATATATAAAAGAAAGATTGTGTATAAGGATATAATACAGGAAGAAAGAATTACTTCATGGAAAGAATGGTATAAAGCAATTTTAATCTCACGGTTTAAGGTAAGACAAAAAGTGTATACACCTGCGCCATTGTGATCAATTCTGAGCCATGTCACACAGAGTCTACAACCATTGGTTACAATAGTCTGTACGCTGGATTTTATTCAAACAACTTACTATTTGTAACAGGATCCGAGTAGGTAAAAATTGTTTTGTAGTTATTACTAGCATCCTGATCGACAGACTTGGTTTGGGAAAAATTAAAAGCTGTACTAAAATTGAATGTTTGTGTATGACCATCTAAACCATTGAGAGCGATTAAATCTGATGGCTTTGTAAATTCGATTTGTTTGACATCACAGTCCGTTTCATAACTGAATTTGTACCCAGGTTGAATGAAAGAACCTGAAGTACTAACATCTTCAGATTTATGACGATTTAAGGGCCATTTGAAGTGGGTCTTTGCATGACGATCAGAAAACTTGTCGTCACTGTTGATTAAATGAGAATCGTATGACAATTTAGTACCCAACTCCCTCTACAAAAGTTAAAAATAGTAAAACTTCCCAAGTTTCTTGAGTAAAAAAATATTCCATATTTTAACAATTCATTCACACACACATTTGTTTAGAAAACCAATACTGTTTCAATTAAATTCATTCAGATGCCGAAACTGTTCAATCCAACTGATACATTTAAGTTGATATTTAAGAGATCACCAAGTCCGACAATGCCGTGTTGCAAGATGTAAGACTGCCATACTCACCATACACAACACAAAATTTATGTGTTATAGTAATCCACAAAAACGTATTTTAGTGTCTAAAAGCTCATCTATTTACTAATTTGTACAGAGTATACCGGAAACTGTCTCCTTAAGTAAATCATTTAGCTATGTACTGAGTGAAGACCACCTACAAAGTATACGATGCAATGATAAACGGAAATGTGATATTTGAAACTTGGCCTATTGATAAATACACAAAACTGACATCGATTTTTATAGGTACGCTAGACGAATCTCAACATCTACGACGTATTCAGAACATTTAATTCTTTGAACTGATACTGAAATACATAGAGCTGACAGGCAAGCAGAAGTGCGCTCTGTAGCAAATATTTCTTATACACATCTACCGAAGAATTGCATTAGGCACCAAAACGACTCAGTCACTTAGTGCAGACAAAATTTGCGTGTCGGTAACATATCGATGAAAAATTACTGCGAATTAAAAAAAAATTAGATAGACACAAAAATATATAAAGCTACGAATGTCAATATAATATTGTGAGCCGTGCAGCTCACTTCAACGTTATACAAAGCATAACAGTGACACGTTATAAAGACACCTATTAACTATTGCAAAAATCACAATTTCAACTCTTTTTCCGAACGTATATTTCAACCACAATCTTCACGTTTATACTGTTCTTTGCAGGAATACGAGTGATAAAGAAAAATAGCACTTTTGGCTTTAAGGTAAATGCCGTAGTGATAATAAGTACATACCAATTAGTAAAAGCATCCTAACATACTTTAAGTACAAACATACCATAAAACGTTACTATAACTATTCTAGAGAGACCTTGAGGACCGAAATTGCCGCCGTTCTATAACAGTTATGTCCCCATATTTGATAAAACAAAACTAACTTTCAATATCATGTGATCATTTCCGAAGTAAAACTTGTAGAAACCACATGAAAAAGTATCGAATGGAGTCAAAAAAAGAAGATGAGAATCATAATTAATTAGTATTTACTACTTCACAAATTTTGATTGAATATCAGGTGTATTCGATCTTATGAAATATTCGAAAACTAAAAATAACAAGGGCACGATATTTATTATTCTTAAATAAACCTCAGAGATAACTTTTCTGTACCACCTCATAATGCTGTGTGACTAAAATTTGTGATTCATCTAGAAATAGTTATTATGGAATGAATAGTCGCGCAATAATTTGTACAGAAGCTTGTTTTTCACACAACCAAAGCTAGCCGGTGCAATGTAAATCAATCCACTTTTTCAAGTGACTATAAGGAACGATAAAAATGTTTCTTTAGTAAGATTAAATTTCACAGACATTTCATATATAGGGCTGCTACAGAAAAGTATACCAATAATTAATAAACAGACATGATGATTTCGCTAAAAAAAAAAGAAATTGCCAGTAATATTATTATATAGCAGCAAAGGAAGAAATAAAAATGTCTTTCCTTTTCTTTCCTCATTGTCGCAAACCTGTATGTCACCACATTTAATGAAAAACCTTCGTCAAATAAACAGGTACGATTTAGAAGTATCTCCCAAGAATCCTGCCCATAACGTTGGATATCCAAGGATCTCTTGGCGACTATGTGTAGCGGAGCTATTATTTAAATTACGTAAAAAATTTGTGATCAATGATTCATTTGTTGTCGGATTCTTCAATACGAATGGCAAAACGCTTATGATCAAGACGTATTGGAGGTATAATCAGTCAGTCACTCAGTCAGTAACAAAATGGAAATTCTTACGTACGTACATCAGTTCGAGTTGTCATACCACATTACCACAGAGATTCAGTTATCGTGTTAAATCCCATAGTGGCAGAGGTAGTAAAAGTATAGGTAGTAATCGGAAAGATTAGGGTTTGAAGATGTTATTTAAGGAGTATAATCCAGTGGAATATATTTGGAAAGAAAATAAAGGACATGGAGAATTCAGAAGATTAGAGTTTGAGCGAACACAAAGAGTAGATGCACCTGCGCCATTGCAAACGATTTTTAGCCATGTCATACAAGGTCTCTAACCATCGGTCGCTATCATCTCGCAGTCCCCAACCAAGTAGTCTACACCTACCTACATGGTTCAGTTCACTTGTCAGTGACTTCATGGATTTGTACAATGTTTTGGTCTGTCCGCCTCTAGCTTTCTTCCAACCTACTCCTACACCACAAAACATCGCACGTCGGTGGTCGGGCATGCGCAACACATGTCCCAGCCATCTCAACTGATTAAGTTTCACTACTTCCTCAATTGATTTGCCATCCTTACCTAGTACCCGTTTCATAACAACTGAGTTACTTACTCGGTGGTCCCAGGATATACGAGCGATGTTTCGAAGACACCTATGGTCAAATACTAGTAACCTACGAATATCCTCTACTCTTACTGGCCATGTTTCACTGCCATAAAGTAGGACGGAACGAACTGCTGCACAGTAAACACGTCCTTTGGTTGATAGACGGATATCTCGCCTACGCCACAAATGACGCAAGTTGGCAAAAGCTAGTCGAGCCTTTTGTATCCGTGCTGAGATTTCGTCACACACCAAACCACAAGGGCTGATGAGACTTCCGAGATAAGTGAAGCGGTCGACACGCCCAACAACTTCACTCCCTATCACTACTTCGGGTGCCGATGCAACCCGATCCTGAAATAACATTTTGCATTTCGAGGGAGAGAATCGCATGCCGAACATGCCTGCATTGTTTCATAGAGTGGTCAGCAGACTCTGCATTTTGTCAGCGTCTTCACCAAATAGAACTATGTTATCGGCATATTTTAAGTAAACAAGTGGATCTCCCGGTGGATGTTCAACTCCTGGAAATTTAGATGCGGAAAGTGTTATTTCTAAAGGCACGTCAACGACAAAGTTAAACAGGAATGCAGAGAGTGGACAGCCCTGACGAACACCACTTGAGGTAATCAATTCTGATGACAGTTCACCATAAGCTCTCACTCGACCAGTCGTGTTCGAGTTGAGAGCTTTTATAAGGTTGATGTACTTCTTTGGTACTCCCTTCAGTGACAAACACTGCCATAGAACCTCACGATCAACAGAGTCAAATGCCGCCTTAAGGTCGAGAAATACGATTATTGTGGGGCGTCTGAGTGTGTGTCTATGTTCTAGGACCTGACGTAATGTGAATATCTGATCAATACAACCACGTCCAGGTCGAAAACCAGTCTGGTTTTCTCTAGTCTGCTCTTCACGAGCTTTGGTTAGACGTCGAACTATTATTGAAGCTAATATTTTAGACACTATATTAGTCAAACTAATTCCTCTGTGATTGTCACAGGAGGACTTTTGTCCTTTCTTATAGACTAGCACAATCAGTGATTGAGACCAGTCAGATGGGATTACGTCCAGTTCCCAGATTCTACCCAAGACCTCAGTCAATCTCGCTGCTAATACTGGACCGCCATCCTTAAAAATCTCAGGAGTGAACCTGTCAAGGCCTGCTGCTCTCCCTCGCTTCAGATTCTCTATAGCCTTTTCAACTTCGTAAAGAGTCGGAGGACTTACATCAACTTGCCATTCAGGTCGACTGGAGATCGTGGCAAACCGAAGTGTGGCTGAAGGCCAGTTGAACTGATCCCTAAAGTGTTCTGCCCATCGATCCAATCTCTTGGATTGAGAATGAAAAATATGTCCATCTTTTTCGGAGATAGTTTCGCTAACAGTCGTGTCCCTAATACCGGTTTCCTTAACAAATCTGAACAGTTGCCTGCTGTTACCTATTGCCGCTGCTTTTTCGATCTCTTGCTTTCGCTACCCACCACTGTTCACGATCATTGCGTAGGCTTCTAGTCAGCTTACGCTTAAGCTGACTCCGCTCTTCGTTATGTTCAGAGCCAGATGGAATGAGTTTACGAGTATCTATCAGTGCGGTAGATGCTGCTGAGATCCAGTGTTTCTCCCTAACCTTATGGTTTACCGTACTAGCAGACATCACTGCTGTTTCTACAGCTTTTCGGATGTCATTCCACGCTGCCTTGGGGTGGGCATCAGTTACATAGCTGCCTAACTGTTTTTCTAGTTGTTCCTGAAATATACTCTTAGCTTGACTATCATTAAGTAGGACCCTAAGGGGTTTCCTTGCAGCATGTTTCCTACGTCCAGTAAGACGTAGACAAACACACGCTCGCACCAGAGCATGATCTGAGTCTAAGCATGTGCCCCAGAATGAGCGACAGTCTTCTATCGAGCCCCTCCATCGGTGGCTGATAGCGACGTAATCTATTTGGGTCCAGCGTTGAGACGAATTAGGGGGTCGCCATGTCAAAAGATGTTTTTCCTTATGCTTAAAGTTAGTGTTTGCAAGAAACACGCAGTTATCTGAGCATAGCTGCAACAGACGATCGCCATTATCTGTTCTTTGAGCCACGACACCATAAGAGCCACCCAGGTGTCTTTCACTTTTGCTTAGTTTAACTACTTGAGCATTAAAGTCATCGGCCCCCATTACTACATCTGAGCGCACTCATTAAATATTTTTATTCTTCAACCCTACTGAAGAGTAAAGTGTGTAAAACAGTGTAGCCTCGCCCCTCAATTTCCTCCAGTTTGATATAGTAATCGGTGCAACCAAAATTTTGGAGCCTTCTGATGAGTAAGCATTGGTTTGATACTTATTTTTAGAAGTTCACTGCCCTGACAGCTCCGAACTTAAAGGTGACGGACAACTGGTTTAGTCTGAATTTTGTATTGTGGTCTTAGGAAGTGGTATGAAACGGGAACACTATTTGAAAATTTCACAGGTTGTTACGGGAGAAATGAAGAGATTTGGCTGATTAAAACCTTTATATTAAATATCATTAATTTCACTGTTTTTTGGATGTATTTGTTTTACTTAACTTCTCAACTTGCTTGTTTATCATTATTTCGGACATTTTGGTTTCTGTTTGTCTTTGCTTTGGTAATTGGGAGTTTTTCGCTCCGGGAACCGATAAAATTTAAGGTCTGTTTTGTAGTTGTTATAATTATTGTTGTTAGAACGACATTTTGGTCGACTATTTGTGAATTGAGAATGAATTTTGGTACCTTATTAGGAGTTTGGTTCTGTTGTTAATTTGGGTTCGTATATAGGAAATAGATTGACATACCGTACTTCATTAACGGGAAGAAGCAAAAACGTGGACGTAACACAGGTTTTATTTTATGTCTGCTACATCAGTGTGTCTGCTGATAGTGATTCTTTCGTTACCAGAAGCTATAGTATCCTCAAGGTTCTTTAGAAGCCATCCTTGCTACAAGTAATGAAACAAATGTTTATGTTATCGCTGGATAAAAATTACATGATTATATTTCGCCTGATGTTTGGTAACGTGTTCTCCGTGAGCTCTACGCTTTAAAGTAGTCATTTGATATCATGTTGGACTTACAAATTATAACAACTCTCAGAAATATCGTATAGTCATTATGGATCAGAATTGATCGTTGTGCCTTCAAACGTTTCTAAGAATCGATATAATATAAGCAGTTTGGTTTATGGACTTATTATCAAAGAATGTGTTTTTAATCGTATGATCATATATCTTAAAATGGAGTACAATCTAGGACGCCAAATCCGTAGCACTGAATATCGAATGAATGCATTCATTTGATTACGCTTCATCAAGTTGTCTCTGACGTCATGGAAATAACCTCGTGTCGCGGTGTCGTAAAGCTTTGCAAGGTCTTTTTCATTAACGGAGGATGACAAGAAGCGATTTGTCAATGCACCTGAAGTTTAATTTATAAGTATAGGTTACTTCGTATGCAGCTTTGAAGAAGTGCCCAGCAATGTGAAACTACTGGCCACCTCAGGTGTCATGATGTATGACAATACGTAACGCATTGACGCT